AATTTTACCCCTAATTCATAATTCATACATTGAATTTGGAGAACCTTTTGTTTTGACCTACTTTCCAGATGCCATATTTCAAAATCAGTAAGAGTAATCAAAAAACGGATGGCACACTTATGAAAGGGCTGTTTATAAGCTGCATGATGAAAAAAGATGAAGATGTTTCGACGAAGATAATTGATAGAATATTGGAAATGTAAGATTTGACCCAGTTCTGGGATAGGATAGGATATAGAATAGAAAGGAAGGATAGGATAGGAAGGAAAGGATAGAAAGGAAGGATAGATAGGAAGGATATGATCAGACATGATAGGATGGAAGGATGGGTGATTTTTTCTATATTTTCTTCGCTACTCTTGACTTTCTATCAGGATGTCATCAGATCGATTTTTCTCGAAATTTTCAAAACGCCATAACTTGCGAACCGGAAGTCAGATCTAAATTTGGTTTGCAGATTCAGATTCCAGAGAAAGCTCTACACTTATTTCATAGCTCATATGTTAAATTTGATTAACTTTTTAGTTTGACCTACTTTCCGGACGCCATATCTCAAAATCGGTAAGAGTAATCAAAAAACGGATAGCATATTCTCGATTTGTTTTTTCTAAACTACATGATGAAAAAAAGATAAAGGAGTAACGACAAACAACAACGAAGATAATTGACAGAATGTTGATTTGACCTAAATTTGACCTAGTTCTTGACCTCTGACCTAGCTACAAATTTGACCTAATTTCCCAGAAACTAGGTTGATGGGCTATGTTAGCCATGTAAGTATGTTAAAGTAAGTTCTTCTAGTTGCTGAGAAAAAGTGTTCACAAAGAAAGAAAGAAAGAGTAATGGCTAGAATTTACCTGCATTTAAGTCGGGAATTGTATAAGATGTCTCTGTTCCAGCAGATCTCCAAATAAACTGACTTTCTGTACATACTTTATGGTACACTCTAAAGTTAATAATGCGGCCATTTGATGCACGTGGTTGATCCCTACCTACTCGCATCTGAGTAATTGACTGTTAACTGACAATTAACCCAGTGATAATAATAACATAATGTCGAAGTGCTTAAAATAAATGCATAGAATATGATATGATAAGGCAATCAATTAGTTAATGAGCTGTCTTTAAAAGTGAAAAATGTATCATTAATTGTAAGTTTTATATATTAATAAAGCCTTTAATAGTGAAATTGACTTACACGGATCACCTATCATATTAGCATAAGTAACTGACCGAATCTTATTCGTTTAATTCGATCAAGATTGTGTTATAACTAGATTGGTAAATTGAACAAAGTTCAATTTAAGACTCCAGATAGATTGGTAAATTGAACAAAGTTCAATTTAAGACTCCAGATTGATTTACTTGAGTAAAGAGCTGAGTAAGCAACTGAGAAGGAAGCTGAGTAAGTAGATGATTAAGTAATTGAGTAAGTAGCTGAGTAGGTAGCTGAGTAAGCAGCTGAGTAGGTAGCTGAGTAAGTAGCTGAGTAGGTAGCCGAGTAAGTAGCTGAGAAGAAGGTAGCTTAGTAGGTAGCTAAGTAGGTATGTAGGTAGGTAGGTAAGTAGGAATTGAAATTTGGTTTTCAGATTCGGATTCCTCAGAAAATTCTACCCTTAATTAATAACTCATAAATTAAATTATGAGAACTTTTTATTTTGACCTACTTTACGGACACCATATCTCAAAAGTGGGTCAAAATACTTTCTGACGGCAAAAAACTATCGATATTAGCACACTCTTTGCTACCTGTATACAAAATTTCGAAGCAAATCATTAAAGTGTAATGTCAGAATCGCAAAAATAAGGTAAAACTATGAATTTGACCTAGATATTGACCAACGCATTTTGGTGTCCAAATTTTAAAGCTAGATAGCCTTCGAGGTCCCCTTCTGTTATAGGCTTTCAGAATGTAAAGCTGAACTCAGTCTATATCTGGTATTTTACACTTCAAAAAATCTTTTTACTCATTGACATAACATGGGGCACCAAATTTAGCGATTTTTGAGCTCTCAAAACGCCATAACTTCCGAACCGAGAATCGGATTGAAATTTGGTTTGCAGATTCGAATTTCTGACAAAATTTTACCCCTAATTCTTAATTCATACATTGAATTTGGAGAACCTTTTGTTTTGACCTACTTTCCAGATGCCATATTTCAAAATCAGTAAGAGTAATCAAAAAACGGTTGGCACACTTATGAAAGGGCTGTTTATAAGCTACATGATGAAAAAAGATGAAGATGTATCGACGAAGATAATTGATAGAATATTGGAAATGTAAGATTTGACCCAGTTCTGGGATAGGATAGGATATAGAATAGAAAGGAAGGATAGGATAGGAAGGAAAGGATAGAAAGGAAGGATAGATAGGAAGGATATGATCAGACATGATAGGATGGGTGATTTTTTCTATATTTTCTTCGCTACTCTTGACTTTCTATCAGGATGTCATCAGATCGATTTTTCTCGAAATTTTCAAAACGCCATAACTTGCGAACCGGAAGTCAGATCTAAATTTGGTTTGCAGATTCAGATTCCAGAGAAAGCTCTACACTTATTTCATAGCTCATATGTTAAATTTGATTAATTTTTTAGTTTGACCTACTTTCCGGACGCCATATCTCAAAATCGGTAAGAGTAATCAAAAAACGGATAGCATATTCTCGATTTGTTTTTTCTAAACTACATGATGAAAAAAAGATAAAGGAGTAACGACAAACAACAACGAAGATAATTGACAGAATGTTGATTTGACCTAAATTTGACCTAGTTCTTGACCTCTGACCTAGCTACAAATTTGACCTAATTTCCCAGAAACTAGGTTGATGGGCTATGTTAGCCATGTAGGTATGTTAAAGTAAGTTCTTCTAGTTGCTGAGAAAAAGTGTTCACAAAGAAAGAAAGAAAGAGTAATGGCTAGAATTTACCTGCATTTAAGTCGGGAATTGTATAAGATGTCTCTGTTCCAGCAGATCTCCAAATAAACTGACTTTCTGTACATACTTTATGGTACACTCTAAAGTTAATAATGCGGCCATTTGATGCACGTGGTTGATCCCTACCTACTAGCATCTGAGTAATTGACTGTTAACTGACAATTAACCCAGTGATAATAATAACATAATGTCGAAGTGCTTAAAATAAATGCATAGAATATGATATGATAAGGCAATCAATTAGTTAATGAGCTGTCTTTAAAAGTGAAAAATGTATCATTAATTGTAAGTTTTATATATTAATAAAGCCTTTAATAGTGAAATTGACTTACACGGATCACCTATCATATTAGCATAAGTAACTGACCGAATCTTATTCGTTTAATTCGATCAAGATTGTGTTATAACTAGATTGGTAAATTGAACAAAGTTCAATTTAAGACTCCAGATAGATTGGTAAATTGAACAAAGTTCAATTTAAGACTCCAGATTGATTTACTTGAGTAAAGAGCTGAGTAAGCAACTGAGAAGGAAGCTGAGTAAGTAGATGATTAAGTAATTGAGTAAGTAGCTGAGTAGGTAGCTGAGTAAGCAGCTGAGTAGGTAGCTGAGTAAGTAGCTGAGTAGGTAGCCGAGTAAGTAGCTGAGAAGTAGGTAGCTTAGTAGGTAGCTAAGTAGGTATGTAGGTAGGTAGGTAAGTAGGAATTGAAATTTGGTTTTCAGATTCGGATTCCTCAGAAAATTCTACCCTTAATTAATAACTCATAAATTAAATTATGAGAACTTTTTATTTTGACCTACTTTACGGACACCATATCTCAAAAGTGGGTCAAAATACTTTCTGACGGCAAAAAACTATCGATATTAGCACACTCTTTGCTACCTGTATACAAAATTTCGAAGCAAATCATTAAAGTGTAATGTCAGAATCGCAAAAATAAGGTAAAACTATGAATTTGACCTAGATATTGACCAAAGCATTTTGGTGTCCAAATTTTAAAGCTAGATAGCCTTCGAGGTCCCCTTCTGTTATAGGCTTTCAGAATGTAAAGCTGAACTCAGTCTATATCTGGTATTTTACACTTCAAAAAATCTTTTTACTCATTGACATAACATGGGGCACCTTTAGCGATTTTTGAGCTCTCAAAACGCCATAACTTCCGAACCGAGAATCGGATTGAAATTTGGTTTGCAGATTCGAATTTCTGACAAAATTTTACCCCTAATTCTTAATTCATACATTGAATTTGGAGAACCTTTTGTTTTGACCTACTTTCCAGATGCCATATTTCAAAATCAGTAAGAGTAATCAAAAAACGGTTGGCACACTTATGAAAGGGCTGTTTATAAGCTACATGATGAAAAAAGATGAAGATGTATCGACGAAGATAATTGATAGAATATTGGAAATGTAAGATTTGACCCAGTTCTGGGATAGGATAGGATATAGAATAGAAAGGAAGGATAGGATAGGAAGGAAAGGATAGAAAGGAAGGATAGATAGGAAGGATATGATCAGACATGATAGGATGGGTGATTTTTTCTATATTTTCTTCGCTACTCTTGACTTTCTATCAGGATGTCATCAGATCGATTTTTCTCGAAATTTTCAAAACGCCATAACTTGCGAACCGGGAGTCAGATCTAAATTTGGTTTGCAGATTCAGATTCCAGAGAAAGCTCTACACTTATTTCATAGCTCATATGTTAAATTTGATTAACTTTTTAGTTTGACCTACTTTCCGGACGCCATATCTCAAAATCGGTAAGAGTAATCAAAAAACGGATAGCATATTCTCGATTTGTTTTTTCTAAACTACATGATGAAAAAAAGATAAAGGAGTAACGACAAACAACAACGAAGATAATTGACAGAATGTTGATTTGACCTAAATTTGACCTAGTTCTTGACCTCTGACCTAGCTACAAATTTGACCTAATTTCCCAGAAACTAGGTTGATGGGCTATGTTAGCCATGTAGGTATGTTAAAGTAAGTTCTTCTAGTTGCTGAGAAAAAGTGTTCACAAAGAAAGAAAGAAAGAGTAATGGCTAGAATTTACCTGCATTTAAGTCGGGAATTGTATAAGATGTCTCTGTTCCAGCAGATCTCCAAATAAACTGACTTTCTGTACATACTTTATGGTACACTCTAAAGTTAATAATGCGGCCATTTGATGCACGTGGTTGATCCCATGATATCGACATGGAAGTTATTGTTGCTTTAGTCACCCTCACATTGCGTGGCTCTTCGGATACTATTAAAACGAGACAAATATGATTACAAATTCGAATCTGAACTCATTCGTATGGTCTCAGACAGCTTAACACAATGTATACTCCTGACTCTTGAGACATTTTTATGGCCTAGAGAATTGTATGTTAGTCAATGAAAGTAGAATAATACGAGGGTTGATTCAAAAGTTCTGCTTTAAAAGTCTTAATATTTTATGAAAACTGTTCATATATGACCTCAACCGTTTAATATGAAGTAGTTTCATTTTTGTGTAAAAAATAAGGAACAAATTTGACCAGTAACATAGGTGTACGGTTACCATATCATCATGTTAACAGGGTATGCGGAACAAGAATACGACACATTTTAGAGCTGGGACAAAGTTGACACTAAACGCTTGACACTTTCAAAAGGTGTCAGTCATGCCTGTTATTCAATTAGTTGTTAAATTAGACCAATTCCACTGGCATTAGCACAAAACTCACGGCACATGTATGTTTTAAATCCTTTATATAATTCCTTTGGTGTATTTTTTCAAGCACAAGTAATATCACTTCAATCAGTATACCAATGATTCAATAAACAGGCTATCAATTAAGTATACACGGTAATTGGTGAGTGAGTAACTTTGCATATTTTAAGATTTTCAGCAGACGCCACGTATTTCCCATGGGCAACTTTAAAGTAGAATTTAAGGTAAGTTATATTCATTTACACCTCCATTTTGATAATATATACGGCTTGGGCTTTTATTTATATCGAACATTGGTCAGACAGTATATTTGGAAGATTTGTTGGAATAAATCAGTCATTTTGTCAAATTATTTTAACTTCGACGTAGCAAAATGATAGTGATAACGTAGCTAATATCTAATAGAGTAGATAGAAACGACGTAGCAATCGCAGCTCATATAATTCTGTAAATATATACAGGGTGGTCCAAAAAATGGGACACTCGTATTTCAAAAATAAATATTGATTTTCTTCGTAAAACATGTCATGTTATATACCAATGGATAGGGAATTTACTCATCTTTAATTTAGTATATCATAAGTTCAAATTTATTATAATGTCTGTCAACCAGGGTTCATAATATAAATGACGTCATTTTCGTTTCAAAACGGGTTTTCCAAAACTGGCAAAACCAAGTTTTATTGTCAATTTTATTTACATAAACAGACTTTCAATATGTCCACCATTTTGATCAATTGTAGCCCTCAATTTTGGCCTAAACTGGTCAATAGCATCATTGATATGCTGTTGAGACAATGAATTTGACTTCTCAATAATTCTGTCCTTCAGGGACTGAATAGATGTAAAGGATTTATGGTTCACTAATTCTGTTAGTTCTCCCCATACATGGTACACACGTTCTGTTAGTTCTCCCCATACGTGGTAGTCGCAGACGTTGGGTGATCTTGTGATCTGGTCATGGGTAGGCAGCGATTAGGGGGATGAATTTAGGCACATTTTCTTTTAAACATTTGACACTCTTGTGGGATCTATTGCTTAGAGTCCCATCTTGTTGGAAAATGTAATGATTCCAAAATGAGCTCATACCAGAATGGTCCAAAAACAACATAATTGGATGGTGCGACAACCACATATTGGGAGAGCAGAATGGTTTTTATGAACCCCTTACATCTACTCAGTCCCTTACTAAGGATAGAATTGTTGAGAAGTGAAATCCATTGTCTCAACAGCATATCAATGATACTATTGACCAGTTTAGGCCAAAATTGAGGGCTACAATTGATCAAAATGGTGGACATATTGAAAGTCTGTTTATGTAAATAAAATTGACAATAAAACTTGGTTTTGCCAGTTTTGGAAAACCCGTTTTGAAACGAAAATGACGTCATTTATATTATGAACCCTGGTTGACAGACATTATAATAAATTTGAACTTATGATATACTAAATTAAAGATGAGTAAATTCCCTATCCATTGGTATATAACATGACATGTTTTCATCAAGAAAATCAATATATATTTTTAAAATACGAGTGTCCCATTTTTTGGACCACCCTGTATATATAAGCACAAATGCCAAAAGGGAAGGGTGACTAAAAACTTTAAGGAAACCCAACAAGAAAAGCAAACTGTAAGTGTAAATCTGTCATAAGAAAAGTAGACCCTATATCCCAAACCATGATCTAACGTGAAAAGAAACAATGTCTAACAATAGGGAGGTTATGATTAGCGTAAAAATATACGTGTACCTATCCCTATCCGTATGTTTGTTACGGATACGTATAGGTAATGCGTATTGCAAAATGAGTTTAAGATTAACGTAAAAGGCTACGAAACCGTATGCTACAATTTATGATAAAATTAACTCCTAATCATAGAATAAAAACCATGCGATGGCTTATATAGCATATACCAGTACATGTCACCTCCAAGAATGGTTATATACTTCAGAGAGTGTGTGGTGTAGCTACTGTAGTTGGGAGGGGGTGATGCTTGAAGGTCCGCTAATGGGGCAGTGACTTAAAGGCCTAAATTTCTGTTAAGTAGAAACCCAGGGTGTTTTAATTATAGAGCCAGTTAACATACCCATTAAAGTGTGCGCCAAAGTTTAAAACTGCGCAGGCGCACCGCTCTCGCTAAACTATATAAAGAGATTACAGGGTACAGACTTCAGAGGTAAGCCAGGAAGGTGAACAACTATCGTCCCGTGTTGATTTCCCGTATAATCGTAACCAGGCAAGTTTCACCATTGGAATTGAAAATGACTATTAGATATACTTTGTAGATGTTTATATATGAAGGTATTAAGTGTATGCATCAATCAAATGGCTCATTTTGAACATATAAAAAGTATTTGTGTTTTGTTTCCCAGGGAATTGTATTCCCATGTACTACACACATAAATAGTGTACATTATGTTGTACTTGAATAGTCTGGCTTATATAATATTGAAGGGTATGCTGATTGTACACACGAGTACATGCATGAAGGCCTAATATTGATATTGCTTGCATACCTAAGTAAAAAATAAACTCTTCTAATCCCCTAATGTAAACACGGCGGTATACGTAGCCCGATTTATCGGGGGCTTTAAGAACTGACCAATCAGCTGGCAGTAGAAGTTGCTTTTTTTATTTGAACCCTTCTTGACCTGAAATCTGATCTTTGACCCTAGCTGTGGATGATGCTATTGGTTAGATTCAAATTTTGAACTTTTCTACTGAACATAATTAAGTAGCATTTAAAAAACTTTGACATGTTCTTATTCAAAATTAGAATAATATTTCACCAAACTGATAACATTTTTGTCGTCTCCAAATGTTCATAAATAACCACAACAAGTTTCAAAACAAACAAAAGCCAATTTACCGAGAATGACAAAAAAAACAATTAAAATTTACTGGTTTCTGTTAATAGAAGGTATTCAAACAGACATATTTGGCTGTTCCAAGCAACCCCCTCTCCTTTTATACCGGATTTTGGTCTTTAAGCCGAAATGTTAAATTTCTAGCATGATCTAGCAATGAGAGTGGCCAAATAGTAAAGTTAAACAATTAAAACCACGATATAATGGCTGATTTCATACATTTACAATAAGCAAAACTGATGAAGAATTTGTAAATTCAACAATTTCATGCATCATCACATGGCATCGTTTATCGCATCAATGAATGTGTTCGACCACTTAATTTCTATGCAGATCGAATGAGAAATGTTTGGTGTTACTATTTTAAAGTTTTATGGATGTCATTTGATCTAGAAATGACACAATTTGTTTGATAAAAACATACGTTTTCGAATTACCTATCTTCGGCCATTTATAGGTAATTACGTATCGTAAACCCTGTAACTTAGGTAAAATACCGCTTAGTGTAATAACAAACTACGTATAGGTATAGGTAAATGGGTTATTTACGCTAATCTTAAACTCCCTACTGTCTAACATCCCCCTTCCCCTCCAATCGATAACCAATATCACAATCCAGGACCAGGAAGTATTAAAGTATACTAAATGATAACATTTCCTGTATTTTTGAGGACCATTAAGGAACATTATATATAAGTTCAAAGTTATTTAGTGATGTGTCTTATTTCAGTGTGATCACACGTCCTTACTATATGGAACAAGGGCATTTTACTTGTGTCCAGCGTTGTCAGAATCCAAATATTCGAAGATGTAATAAATCGCAATATCGTAAAACATGCAGACAAATCAATGGTGGTAGGCGAATCACAGGGGTTTAATGAAAATCGGGACATCTCGAATTTAACAAAATAGAAGCCGTGGAATCTGCTGAGAATGTTATAATGGTAGAGAGATATATTTTACAATTTTCTGCTGAGTGTAGAGAGAATAATTTTAGACCATGATAATGAATAGAATGTTGAATGAATTGCATATGTTCCCAAGTATTATTTGCTATGTCGATAACTTTATACGGCATTTACACCTGTATATCTTACTCAAATACTCAGAATGAGTATATGAATTGTAATTCATATTCGATGAATTGTTTTGTATAATGTACGAGTTATATTACCAGTTCATTACAACGATGTTTTCCAACACCATGGATCAGGGCCATATGGCTCTTTAATGCTTTTAGCGACCTGACATTTTTGCCACAGGAGGAAAATAGGTGCAGTCTGAATTTAGAAGAAATATACTTCACAAAAAAAGTTAAGAACAAGTATTTTTCTTAATAGGTTTACATGTTAAACCTTGTGTATCTTTTAACTTTATTTCCTTAGCCCAAAACGAAAGAAAAACTGATAAATGTAAATGGATATGTACCTTGACTCTATTCTCTTTTTCAGGTGGATCCCGGCTATGGCATTGGTTGAGAAATCCGTGTAGGGATCGAAACCAGCCATAGTTTTCTACTGATGACCATTGTGAATTGTTGTGTTTTATGGATTATGATGACGGCTTTGCGAACGGATGTTGATCCTTTGAATTGCCTATGGACTTCGAGACTGGATTTTATCTATCCCACATCTTTTGAGATACCCTATATTTTATGAATACTAGTATCTACAACTGTTTTTGATGTATTATGAGTATTAGCTATATTTTTTTTTAATTTTTCTTCAACATGTATTGTAATGACTTCAGTATGAATGAAATGTCCCTTGGTGTTCTTGTCCTGGATTGTGATATTGGTTCTCAATTTGAGGGAGGAGGGGGATGTTAGACATTGTTTTTTTTTAACGTTAGATCATGGTTTTGGGATATATAAGGTTTACTTTTCTTATGACAGATTTACACTTACAATTTGCTTTTCTTGTTGAGTTTTTTGAAGTTTTTAGTCACCCTTCCCTTTGACATTTGCGCTTATTACTCTATATTTCAGGATATTTTCAATTTAATCTCTCTATTACAATAGTTCCCACGGACCATATATTCAGGGATGCTATATTTACCCTGACACTGGAACTCACGAACTACATACTTCCCAAATATTTTGTTGTGATTTGAGTGCTTACTCAGTGCTATACCTGACTTCATTACTAGTACAACTAGAGGTTTACGTAAACTCATTCCAAATAACTTATAACGAACTACTCTCTATTAAAAATACTTACTCATTTCATCCGTGAGTAAACATTTGTGACTCGGGGCACTGATGAGATTATTGAGCTCCGCACTGATATCTATACAGTGTAATTCCCCAGGTTGCAGATTTGTCAAATTTACACCGTAGCCATTCCCAGAACGTTCAACAGTACCAATAGTACCATTAGAACTAGGTGGTAGTGAAACAATGTACTTGTCTACACCATTCTCACTCGATGTGATAAACATGTGGTAGGGCGACCATGTTGGAGGTTCTCGTATTAATTGTATTTCACCTGGAGGACTAGGTTCTGTAAATAAAAAAATCATACGTATAATCTAAAATTAAAATGCCAGCGTTAATTTAGTTTATAATTATTCGTTATACATAAACGTACCACCAGACACACAGTGGAAAACTTTAAAATAATGTTTGGGGTTTAGTGATTTCTGATTTGCAGAAGAAGAAATGTGCAATAAAATAGAGGTTATTTAATGGAAGGTTTTTGATACAGGGTTCGTCTGAGGGAAATGCAATGTATCTACCCGAGGGACCGTAGGGACCGAGGGTTGATGTATTGTATTTACCGAGGGATATACCCTGTATCAAAAATCGAGCATTTAATAACTGATTTATTCTATACTAAGTAGATTATGAGGATTAAGTGAGCATTAAATTTTATGGAACCCTCATGTAATAGTCAAGTTACATATGATAATTACAATCAAAACATGAATATTTTATCTCATTTTAAATTTTTTAACATTTACAGTTTTTAAAACTCAACAGCTTTTAACATCTAACAGTCTATGAAATTAATATATATCCATGGTTATACACGCACATTACTATACTGATTGTTTAAATCGTTTAGTGTACAAAAAGCACCGAACAAAATTCCCGGGGATTGCTGATGAGCGGTTGATATATATATATCCCGCTCACCTCAGTGGGAGATATGTTTATCACCCGCTCACCTCCAATATCAATTATATTCCCGCATGTTATTTACCCATAACACTACTAAGTATGGAATAAATAAGGGTTATGAACTGGGAGGCTTTAAATATGGGGTTTATCCAGAGGGAGATATACATATCAACCTGAGGGAGCGTAGGGACCGAAGGTAAATGTGCATATCTCACGAGGGATAGACCCCATCTCCAAACTGATCGTACATAACTGCTTTATCCTATACACAGTAGAGTTTTCTATTTTGAAAAATCTCCATTTTCAATTTTTTTTCAAATTTTTCTTTAACTTTTTTTCAAAGAGAGAAGATATGCCCTGGAGCGGGAGATATGGCGGAAGATATGGAGGGACTGGATATGGAAACCTCAAAATCAGGATACGGGATACACCTTATAGCAACTCATCTCTCCAAAACTCTAATGGACAAAGGATGAATAAATGCATATCTAAATTATATTAGTTCACCAAATTAACGAAAAATAAAAAAAGTGATTGTGTTTATATACTTAATGCATGAAAACATATTAACATGTTAAACTAATTAAGGGAAAGGTTAATGCAAATTTTATTGCTCTGAAGACTATTTTCGTATGATTCTTCAGAGTGCAGAGTTCTTTATTGTTCCAAGTGTTACGCAAAATAGTGTATACTATAATATATCTCCGAGTTGTTCTTGTATCCTAGAGTCAGCCGTCTAATATATGAACATCTTACTTGTCAGTTGACCTGCTCCTCCATTTGCAAAGGCGCCTCGGCTCTCCTGGGTTGCCTTGACAGATCGCACACTTAAACTGTATAGCCTTCCTGGGTACAAATTCGTAATTGTGAAGGAGAAGAGTTTTTGATCGAGAAAGGTATTATTTTCATTATTCTCGTCAGGTGGTGAAATATTAATACGATATCCATCGTAGCCTCCCTTTGGTTTTCTCTCTGGTTCTTTCCAATCTAACTTGATTGATGTGCTATTAATAGCATTAGCCACCACACTCCCAGCCAAAGGCGGCAATGGTTCTAAAAAATATGAGTACTTTACTTAAGCATTCTTATGACACAGAATGTTGATTTTATTATTATGGATCCCATTTAGCCTTTCGTAAATACCTATAACGGAAATAACGAATACTGACTGAAATGCTTAAACCATTATTTCATTATAAAACTCATCAAGCATCGTAGCAAATTGGAATAATGGAGGGCAGCTGGATGCACCGAGTCGTTCATATCTAAGAGATTATAGATATTATACCATTGACTTTTTCTCCAGATTTGACATTTATCAAGAAATATCGATGATCAAAATTTTACAAGCAATTAAAATAGAGCTTTAAATAATTACTTGTCAGTTGGGTTATAGTGATGGTTCTGCTATATCGTACCAATGGTATGTCAGTAAAGTTAACATATGTTCTGACTCTGAAAGTTATATTCGTAGCTGGTCCAAGGTTACTCAATGTTATGGACGTTGCACTACGTCCAACTGATATAGATGTCACGTTTGGATCTACGACGTAATTTAAGTCATAACCCGTATAATGCCCATTTGATGGTCTCTTCCAGCTTATAGTGATACTTTTTTCGTTGATTTCTGTACCCTTCACGTCCCTTGGGGGATATGGTTCTGAAAATAGTGAACTACATAGAGTATTTTGAAAAGATAAATAATCCATTACGATATGCTTGACTTATCCAATTGTTTTGAAAGTTACTTGCTACGTTTCGGTAGACTACGTCCATCTTCATTAGGCACTTCTTCCAGGCACCTTTTGGCTGCTCGGGGATTAAGGATGTTAGCTGGTTGGGTTTGAAGCACCTTGTCCCAAAGTGGACTGAGTTAGTGAGCTCTTGTCTATGTTGATGTTGGAGTTGTGTTTCCTTATATATACAGGGTGGGCCAAAAAAAACAATACCCATCTTCAAATCATGATAAAAATAGTTACATTCAATATGGTTCAGACACTTACATATCATTTTAAAGGTTATACAATTTCAAACAATTTGGTATATAACACTATGTCATGAAATCAATAGTAAAGTTTTATTATACTTATTTGGGAGGCCGGGTTGCTATTTAAGGTCTCTAGATTTAATGGAGAAAATAGTAAATCTGCGGAATTATGTTATTTTTTATTTATGGAATATCATTCTTTTGTTAGGTATAATACATGCTTGGATATTGATATTTGCATCATCGATTCATCGTGTGACTAAATTTATTATTTATGAATTTCAGTGTTGTTTAATAACATTTTACACTTTATTTTTTTTTAAACAATTTTGACAATTGCTCAATATACCCCACCCCATCCCCTCTGCATTAACAATAATCTTCAAGTGGTAGCGCAGTCTATCAATAGCCTTATTGAGAGATTTCTGTTGCAATTCATCTTAGCACTTTAGGATTCTGTTTCAGCTCATCAATGATGTTTATTGGATGCTTTTGATTGTACCATTTCCTCGAGATGGCTCCATGTATGGTAATCAAACACACCAGCATCGGGCTAGCAGTTGAGTGGCCAAGCATCGAGATCAATCAAATTGACACCTTGTTTGCAAAGAAATGCCAATATCTCATTTGATCTATGGTACGAGGCAATGTCTTGTTGGTCAATTAAATCCTCGTCACATAAACGTTTAATGTCTTTTAACAGACCCCCTTTGAGTACTTATTGATAATAAACAACACTAAAATTCATAAACAATAAGTTAAGTCACACAATATGCAAATATACAAGCATGTATTCACCTAACAAAATTATATTCTATAAATAAAAAATTAACACTATTCCGCAGATTTACTATTTTCTCCCTAAAATATGGATACCTTAAATACCGACCTGGCCTCCCAAATAAGCATAATTTAAATTTGGGTATTGGTTTTTTGGCCCACCCTGTACAGCCTATTTGGACAAACGTTTATTCTTTTCAGTCTCACTTTCAAAAATTGAGTAGTCCTTGTAATTTATCACACACTTGTTTCTGACTGCATGACCTGCAAAATGCTAAGTTTAATGATTGCTTCCATTGATTAGGGTGTAGTGAGTGTTGTTGAGAGAGTCCACTTGTTTTTTATGCTCACTGATTCTAACTGATACTTTCCTAGCTGTTTCACCTATGTATTGTTTCTTATAACTACAAGGGGCACTATAGATAACATAAGATTTATTAATTTTCTCTTGCTGCTCTTTAGGGTGGCGAATTGAAGTACCTGCTTGACCGTAGTGTGTGGTTTTGTAGCGTTATCTATCTTGTATTGCTATAAACTCTTCTTATCTTACCTGTGACTCCTTGAACATAAGGTATGGTGGTAAAGACTACACTGCCTTTTTCCCCACTAGGTCTCTTGGTACCTTTTATTTCACCAACAACCTTCTAGATTACTGGAGTGGGGTATCGACAACTACCTAACACTTTGACAATGCGGCCATATTCTGTTTTCTTGTCTGAATTCTTGTGTGACTACGCCTTCCTTCCTGTTCAGCAATGTGCTAAGGTGGTGAGATGTATGAGATTTCTCTCTTAAGACTGTCACTCGTTAGTCTTTTGTCTAAGAAAGCTAATTGTTACGATCCTGCTCTTGTTCCACTGGGAACTTTATGTTACCAGCCTTGTCAATACTATCCAATTGCTGTGTTAAGATGTCTACCTTGTCTTTTTACCACTTCCAATGTGTTATCCACATAGTGGGTTTCCATCATTCTGATTTATCAGAGCCCCTCTTTACCTAACGCTTTTGTCTGAACTATTCCAAAATGACAGTAAAGGCTGTGGATCCCACGATGGGTTTCCATCACGGAGTTGATTCTGATTTCTCTAGCCATTCCATGTAGAGGTTGACAATCACCTGGGATACCGGTGATTCCATCGCTGTTACGAAAATAGTTTTTGTATACTGTCCATGGTTTCAGGTATGTGCGAATTCGCGAATAATGAAACGACATCAACTATGAGATAAGCATCTCATCCTCTGAGAATGCGACATCCCGTATAACTAACGCAGGTGTGAAGAATTCTTAATAAAGTTATCATTCTTACCAACCATAGAAGCAAGAATATCAGCGAGTTTACGTGAAACTTTGTATCCTATAGAACCTGTGTAGTCTACAGTGGGTCCTTAAGGCCTTAATAATCGGATAAGTCAAGCATATCGTAATGGATTATATAAAACACTATCCAGATGAACATATTCAATAATAGACAACTAGATAAAGTTCCTAAATCACAAAGACACACTTTCCTACCACGTGACCACCTTTAAAAAGATACGGGATACAGTTAAGTTGCAAATGGAGCGGGTATTCTCAATATTTGTCCATTAGGCTTTTCTGGTAATAATACGTAACATACTGCTCGTTGAATCTGTACAATGTATATAGTAGAACACATTTGGAATATATGTGAAATCTCGCAAACCTTCAGAACTATGGAAATAAACAAACGTCCTCCATTTGCAACTTCATTTGTTTCATTTGATTTATTTAGCATGTGTTTATATGGTTTGCTTGTCTTTTCATATTCAATCGTTAATTAAAGCCTAGCTAAAGCTGTATTTTATATTTAAAACATAATATACAGACCCTTCCAGTAGATCATCCAACTGTATGTTACTAACGAGCCGAAGAAGGTCGCTTATTATATGGCATCGCCACTCTTATGCAAGGTGAATACTGACACTTTTAAGAATGTACATGTTTTTTTTGCTGTATGCCAGTATTGCATACGCAACATTATTCCATAGTTAGCATGATATTCATAGGATAACATGTGAAAATAAAAACGGTATTTTTGAAATCCGTGGTAAAATATGATATTTTGGACAACTTTTCACTTAACCATAACATACGGTTTTTTAGCCATGACATACGACGTCGTATGCGATGGTTTATGGATTTTTGCTACTTCAGACTCAAAACGAGGCTAAGTGTCAACATCGCCGGATCGTTTGGAAATTCGAATTAAATAACTTAATTTCCGACGGTTCCGATGATGACTTTAACTATGGAATAAATAGAACATCCTATGATTTACTCGTGATATGATTTTAATCCACTCATGGATATTGATATCTGCACTCTCTCGCTACGCTCGCTCGTGCAGATATCATATCCATTCGTGGATAAAAATCATATCACTCATAAATCATAGGATATCCTCTATTTATAACCTCCATTCCCCTCGCCATGCATCATGGATGCGTCTTAAAGATATTTTAATTTTAGACTTTTAAACGTTCTATCCTGTACTTATTTTTTATTTATTCTGTTATCATCAGGATATGATTCACGGAAGGGTGGATTTTCGGATTATTTGATATCTTTTCTAGATCTCTCTGGTCCCCCAAGAAGATGTTATATTGACCCCCTTTTTTATCACCAGGGTATAAAATGTAAATCCCCTGTAGGAATGTGTAAAGGCTTTATCAGTTGGACTGAGAGTTTAGCTAAATATCGGTCCTTCGGAAAGGTATGTATCGTCTCTTTAGATAAACCATCCCTCCCTAACAGGGGTGAACATATTAGAGAATTTTGGTGAGTTTCATGTTCGAATCATAATATAGACCCCAGAGCAGGTATAATGTCGAGTAATAAATACCTTCGACCTAGGCTCGATATAACACCTGTCCCTCGTTCTCTATTATGATTTTAACATGAAAACTCACGTAAATTTTTCGAATATTCATATAATGGTCCACCATTACTTCGGCCCTCTGATATGACGTCGCACATTTCTCGTTTTACCAGGGGTATTGTTCTTCGAATTAAACCAGGGGGAAATGTAAACTTTGTTCACAGTTTAAGGCGTGAATACAGTCATGTTCGATATAATAATATACATATGGATACTCGATGGATGCCTGTCAATTTATATCAATTGGATGTTTCTCCGATGTACATGAAATGGTAAAATGTGAAGTTTTCTTCGAGTTTTTACGGTTGAACTCACGAAAATACCCATCATATTTATCCACCTATTCACCGGAAGCATATAACATGAAACCCGTCCCTCGTGTAATGTATGCATCGTTTCTTGAAAGTTTCTGGAGACTGGAGAGAACCATTTGAGCCATTACTTTACAATACATGTTAAAGCTGAAAAAATAGTTGTTTTACATTTTAAGCACATTCTTATATCATTTATCGAAGAGAATTTTTATTTACTTGTTATTGCATCCTTTATGGGTGACGATTCAACAACGCTGTAGTTTACATACGTAACTTCAATCCTAACAGTATACCTAGCACCCGCGCGCAGTCCTGTTAAGTTGATTTTATTGTCAAGGCTATTGGTAACATCTATAGCGAGGGGAGTGGGATTTGCTTCATATTGCTGGTAAGACACTGATAGCTTTGTTGCTGGTCGTTTGAGTTCTTCCCATTTAACCACCAATGACGTTTCTGTCTCGTCGCTGATCCAGAAGTTTGAAATTGGACCAGGGCCTAAGATGGAAATAAATAATCAAATATTTATTTTGTATCATATTTTCCCCTCTATCTATATCTAGCATATAGATCCAGCATGCAGCACATTTAACACGTATAAATAATATTCACGGCTGATGTTAGCACCAACTATTAATTATTTGATTTTACTTGGGAAACTTGGATAACTCTCTGCATTATCACTGTTCCACAACCAGTTACTTTGACGGAACGTTAAGTAAAAAAGGAATTTCCTGGACAAGAGTTTTTCGTTTTCCCGATTTAAACTTATTAGTCAAGCGGCGGATTATTACTTGATACAAAGACAAAATAGTTACATAAGGGAGTTTAAGATTAGCGTAAATAACCAATTTACCTATACCTATACTGTACGTAGTTTGTTATTACACTAAGCGGTATTTTACCTTAATTACAAAGTTTACGATACGTAATTACCTATAAATGGCCGAAGATAGGTAATTCGAAAACGTATGTTTTTATCCAACAAATTATGTCATTTCTAGATCAAATATCATCTATTAAACTTTAAAATAGTAACGACAAACATTTCTCAATCGATCTGCATAGAAATTAAGTGGTCGAACACATTCATTGATGCGATAAAGATGCCATGTGATGATGCATGAAATTCTTGAATTTAAATATTCTTCATCAGTTTTTCTCATTGTAAATGTATGAAATCACTAAATCAGCCATTTTTCTTGTGGTTTTAATTTTTTAACTTTACTATTTTGTCACTCTTATCGCCTGATCATGCTAGAAATTTAACATTTCGCCTTAAGTCACTGCCCCATTAGCGGGCTCACAAGCAACACCCCCTCCCAACTACAGTAGCTACACCACACTCTCTCTGAAGTCTATAACAGTTCTTGGAGGTGACATGTACTGGTATATGCCATATAAGCCATTGCATGGTTTTCATTCTATAATTAGGATGTTAATTTTATCATAAATTGTAGCATACTGTTTCGTACCCTTTTACGTTAATCTTAAACTCATTTTGCAATACGCATTACCTATACGCATCCGTAACAAACATACGGATAGGAGTAGTAGGAAAATTGGTTCCATCAGCCCAGGCTGGTCACTAGGCTGGTCATCTAAAACCGGAAGTCAGCCATTTTGACAGGAAGTCAGCCATTTTGACCGGAAGTCAGCCATTTAAACCGGAAGTCAGTCATTTCGAATCTCCTGGCAGGAAGTCAGCCATTTTGAATTCTGTCTGGGCAAGTTGATGACATCATAGCGGATGTTCAGCCATTTTGAATCTGTCTGGGCAAGAGGGTGACATCATAGCGGAAGTGAGGCATCTTTGAGTCGGTCTGGGCAGGTTTTAAAACGGATGTTCAGCCATTTTAGATTTTGTCCGGGCACGTTTATAACATCATAGCGGAAGTTCAGTCATTTTAACTTTGCCTGGGCAAGTGGATCATATGTTTGGCAGGAAACGTAAAGGTAGCCATATTGATAGCCTTATATCATATGAATAAGGATTACGATGGCATTGGTCTCACTCGAATCATGAATACATGCTCTTGAAGCATCTATTTTTAAGAATCTTTAGTTAAAATTGGGGAATTTATAGAGGCTAATTTTTTAACTTTTGACTAAATTTATGTTAGGTATACTATAGTCTCAATGAGAAATGGGGGATGGCTTATATAACAACTTCACTTATCTTTCTACTTTCACTTACAGTGTATGAACATAACACGAATTCTTTCAACACACATAAAATTTTATTTACATATAATACAGCATGATATACATCATAATTACATTTCTATACAATATTTACAATAATGTTATATCAGAGTCCTTGACCCACGAGTCAAACTTTTTAGGCCAATATTGCCAACGCACTAAATGTTCCTTTTGACCCTTTCTTGTTCGTGTTTTTAGGATCTTTTCCACCTTCCAAATATCATCTTCATTTGCTTGTACCCTCTGGAGCTCTGCTTGGTAAAAAGTACCCTTAATGTCTTCATTTTGAAAATCTTTTAAACGATACAATGGAAGGCCCTGTCTGATGAAACGTTGTGCTACTTTAAAAATTTCACCAGTCCAATGCTCGTTGTATTCTCTTGTAAAAATATGTTTCGATTGGGTAATTCTAACCAAAGCTCCAATGGGAAATTTAAATATATATTTTGACCTAGTTTTAACAGCAGCTGATTTTGGATAGTACATCCGCCACCAAATGGCCAGTTCATCATCTTTAGATACATTTTTAGGAGCCATCTTTATGCTCCTATGCCAGGTGGCATTATAACTTTTAACAAAATTTTGCAAATCGTCTAGATATCTGTAGTTCTGTTTATATGTCATGAACCTCATTATTTTCGTCTTCAATGTCTTTATAAGGCGCTCGGAAAAGTTGGCTTTGGGTGTATTTTCCGTAACAAAATGGCGTACTCCCCATCGAGCCAGCAATGTCTGTACGACCCTCGCACGAAATTCTTGACCTTTATCCGTTCTAATGACATCTGGTTGACGCTGCCCTTCTTTGAAGATGTCATCAAAGGCCTCTGCAACAGATTTACCCTTCTTGTTAGGTAGAGGCTTAACCCAGGCAAAACGGGACATGATGTCAATGACGACTAGGATAAACTTCGTATTGTCATTCTCTGTTGACCAAGTAGACATATCCATGAGATCAGCATCCCATTGTTCATCAATATGTGAAACATATACTTTGTTCCGAGTAAATTGTCTCTTATAAGGTCTCTGTAGGCCATAAGCTTCTTGATTGTCCAGCCATTTCTTTATCTGATAACGGGACAGCTGGTATTTCCCATCATTTAGTACAGCTCTATAGAGTTTGTCTGGTCCAGCAAAGGCTCCAGAATTTCGACTGTCGAAGTATAATTTCTTTAAATAGTCTCGATATGCCATCTTACACTGTCGGAATCTGACTCCTTAATGACGATCTCTCTTTAAATTGCTAATATTTATCACTCAGTACTTGATTCAACAGCCTCGTTTTCGGATTCACTCTGTTCTTCCTCAGAGCTACTTTCCTGGTCGGTATCCTCTATAAAGACCTCATCAAACTTGTGTTTGTTTTTTAAAAGTGTCTTCCTAATGGCTAAGTTCACAGAGACACCCCTCCTCATCATATTATTTATCGAATCAATTATATTTCTGTGTAACGCATTGTCTTTTACATCAGCCGTTAGCTTGACGAATTGTTTATATCCTTTCATAAATTCTTCCTTATACTTCGATAATAGTTTATTATCTGCCTTTTCTACGGCCTCTGTCTTATCCATCTCTCTATCCATATACTCATCCACTTTACGTCTGTGGTCTTCCTCATTCTGTCTTATTGACCACTTCTTTAAGAATGCAAATGTTTCATTTGCTTTCAAATCACCATCATCGTCATCAACGTCATTGTCTTTGTCTTGAGGAATCTTCTCCTCAATATTTTGGGTAGATTGGGTCCTCATCCTCTTGGGTAGTGGTCCCTGATCTTGACACCAATTTTTTATATGCCTCTGTAAGTCGTGAATGCTTTCAAATACTAAACCACAGTCATCACAGGATACCATGTTGTCTTCTCGAACTTCACGTTCCAAGTAAGGGTAGTTCTTAACATCCCTACTATTTATAAATGTTGTCGTCGGATAGTCGACTTCTGAAATACCCTGTCTTTCAAGTAAGTGTTTTGAATCATTCATTGGTTCCTTGTAGGTGCGGGAATCGTGATGACTTTCAAATTCAACTTCACTTTTAGTAAAGGCATTTGGTTTCAATCTGCTGTGTTCTGAGGTTTCTTGCTTCAGATCAAGAAGCAAGTAACCATAGGGTCGACTAGTTGCGTTGGTATATGCTCTGACCAACTTGTTTCCATTTCCGGGGTACATCTGCCTCGATAAGAATGCCACCTGTTGGCGATCTCTCGGGTTATTAAACAGTATCATATAGTGAGAGTTTAAGCTCATCGATCTATTCATTTTTCCTTGATGATACATATTCTGGAGCAGGCATATCACAGACAGATTTCGATGGTGACTGCCTTTGCTATAGAGATCACATATCCGTTGATCATTTGTTGCTTCATTCATAAGATCATCGAGAAGTATCAAAGTAGGAACCGAAGTGTCAAGGTATCTTGAATCATCAATATCCTCTGGTATTCCCTTCACAAATTCCAAACGTTGGTTTTTTCTTAGCTCTTCGTAGGCAGGCTGCCATTGACCATAACACCAGATAATTCTTCTAGGAATTGGGGATATATACCGTTCAATATTTTGAATCAAGTGCTTCATAAGCCAGGTCTTCCCCGACGATGTTGGTCCGGCTGAAAATACAACAAAAAAAATATTTTAATACATTAGCAAGCTCTTTTCCTATATTTGTGTATTTATACATCTATCAGACTATACCTATACCTGCTATCATAGTAAACGGATGTTTCAGCATAACATCCGATTGATGTATATTTTCTCCATGAAACTTATTCATATGCCGTGATAGGTTATCACCTCTCGTGAAATTCACACTACACTCAGAACAATTGAAAGACATGTTGTCTGTTCAAGATCTATCAGTAAAATGACTCAAAACATGGACAACTTAAAATATATAAGAATATTCTAAAGTGCAGTATTTGGATTGATTCAAAATGTATCAATTAAGATCAATTGAAAATATAAACATGCATTGATGACATTATAAACTATTGTATAATTAAGTATGGGGAGGAGGTCTGGAGGATAGAGAAAAGAGGAGGTTGGGAGGAGTTAAGGATGAGGTAGGGAGGTGGGAGGAGGTAGGGAGGAGATAGGAGGAGGTAAGGAGGAGGTAGGGAGGATGTGGGAGGAAGCGAGAGGAGGTAGGGAGGAGTTGGGAGGAGGTTAGGAGGAGGTAAGGAGGTAGGAAGGAGGAAAGGAGGAGAAAGGAATGATGTGAGAGGAAGAGGGAGGAGGTAGGGAGGAGGTAAGGAGGAGGTAAGGAGGAGGTAGGGAGGATGTGGGAGGAGGCAGGAGGAG